TATTCGTATGACATTCAGTGCCTTAGTGCCAAGCATATTCCACACGTCGATTGTCTATCACGGTCTGCTGATTCCGATGAATTCGGAGTTCAGCGTGCCATTTGATGCAATCACATCCGCTAAGCCACTCCCAGCTTGGATTAGATACAAAGAAGTATTAGCATGCTGTTCTGTCGTCAATCCGCAACGGGTGTGAAGCTGATTGGAGAAGACTATTTCAGAAGTTTTACAACCTACGCGACAAACCACTTTTACGCCTGATGGCATTTGTTGTTTCCAAGGTGGAATTGTTGTTCCTTCTACACTTCGAGCTGCTGCGTTACAGAACTTGCACTCTGGCCATCTGGATATAGAAAAAATGAAGTCCTTCTCTAGATTGACCTGCTGGTTGTCAGAGCTGAGTGATGACATTCTCCGCACGGCTGCCCGCACAAAATCCATTCCAGACCCTCGAAATGGACGCCTTGTCACATGACATGAGACATGGAAACGTGTACATGCTGACTATTGTGGTCCATTTTTGGACAAATACGGTGAATTGATAATAATGGATCCCTTTTCTTGCTGGTCACTAGTGTACTCCACCACATCTGCCAATTCAGACTACACCATCATCGATCTCAGCAGGATATTCAGGCACGAAATGGTACCGATTGTTTTGGTTACGGATTATGATAGCCATTTCAGTGCTAAAAACATAAATGAGTGACTTAAAGGGGCTGGTTACCGGCACGTCTATACGGCTCCTAGGCACCCGCAATTCAATGTTACTGCACAAAATTTTGTCCATGTTCTTAAAAGTCCAGTCGCTTGCCACCAACCAGCAGTGTTGGTTGAGCTTGACAGAGGTGTTGACAACTTCCTAATGCATTACAGGAACGCTGCTCATTCGACCACCGGAGAGAGAGCCTGGAAAAAGTGTTCAAGAGACGCATGCTTAGGACAAAGATATTATGCCTGGAATCAGTCGAAGTTGTCTACCATCGTGGTAATAATTTCCGACCATCATGTAGAATAATTCTCAACCACATTGGTCCCCGGATGTGTCGAATACTTGAGTTGTTGAATGGTTCTGTGCATGCTAGGCATTATGATCAATTTGTAGGTAATTCTTCTAATACTGAGCTTGTTGATGAGTTTAATGATCCTTTGTTTAAGTCTATTTCAGAGTGAACTTCAACGGATGAAGAGGCTACTGAAATTCCAAAACAGCAATCGCAGAGTTCTGAGAGACTCAAGAACAAAGAGCGCCGTCATTACGAAAACCCGGAACTTCATTTGAACATCGGCGGATGTGGTGATTGTACATGAACAATTCTGAACTCCTTGTTTTACTGGGCTTTCGAAATTAGCGTAAGTCCGAATTCACTGTAGACCATTTCTGTGTGCTGTCACCGAGTGTTATTAATTCAGTGTCGTTGATAGCTCTGCATTTGAGCCTAATCCATTTCGATTATTGTTACTATGTGGAATACCACAGGTACCCTAGTCCAAACGTTACACATGCATGATTACCTCTTCGGATTGTAGCCGTACAGTTCAAATTCAGCTTTGGGATGTATATCGCACGGTAATGTTCGTGCTTTGTAAAACTTGGCCTTGCTATTCTCCCCTAGATTGATGGAAGATTTAAAATGTCTCAGCTTCGCCAACTTAATTTTGAGTAAAGAGGAAATTGGTTCAACAAATCGTTTAGTCTGCTGTCGTTGACCACGACCCCATTAATCTGCATCGTTTCTGGGAAGTATCGGATCCAAGTGCTGCCTAAGATATTTGGTCTTTTTTCAGATACCACCATCATGGGTAGAGGTAATTCTCGTCCAACATGTCTGACTGTACCAATGCACTTTCCAAAGACCCCAATCGGAGTTCCAGTATGGGTATGCAATTTGGAGTCACAAGGTTGTAAAGCCGACAACCTCTTGATTGAATCACTTTATAATGATAACTGCAACCCCGTATCTATTTCCAAATCAATCGGTTCATTCTCGAGCATCAATTGCATTGTATATGGGGGGCACTTGGTAGGTGATACGGTATTCAAGTAGACGGGATTTAGATTGTTGTCTGGGTCTACTAGGACGTTGCTCTCTGCGAGCGGCAGTTTATTATGGCGCTACGGTTAAGCGAGATTAGTCAGTGGAGCTGCTTCTGAAATGCACACGACGGCTAGGTGGCCTACATTACCACATGATCAGCATTGCTTTCTTTGTGGCGACACTCAGAAGCACAAGTATGTTGCATCCCACAGCGGTAACACACTAATTGTCTTTGAGATACAGATGGAGTCTGTGGTTTAACATCTGCGTGAACACCATCAACGGCTGCATGGCCAGTGAATTCACGTGGCTGGGGAACGTTTGGGGAACGTTTGGGGAACGACTACACAAGCGTTCTCCCACCTGGTATCTGCCTCGTTCAAAGATAACGATTTTCCCCGTGCACTTTCGTCCAGAACCCCCGCAATTAAGCAGTGTATTTTAATTTCTCCAAACTTAGGTGGAATTTCATTGTACTTACACTCGGAAATGGACTGGTGGTTGTGTGTTAGGAAGTCGTTGACGCTCTCGTTCCATTTCTGTAAAAGCTTTGTAAAGCAGTATCTCGCAGTATAAGCATTCTGTTTCAATAACAACAAGGTGGTATATTTATCAAAAGCAGATGTAATAGTGTCACAATTTTCCAAATGTAGTGCCTCATAATGTCGCTGGCCTTCATCCCCCAGTACTTGTCTGAATACTCTTATTTTGTGGGACTGAAATTGAAATCATGGGATACAAAACAGGCAGTACTTACAAGTGGTTAATAAATGCTTTCTTCCACCATATGCAATTCGATAAGTTCGATTTGTCTTCAGCGGAAGAAAATAGCAGGTAGATTACTGATAGGGTTCATTTTGACAGTCGCCAATATTACGCAGTTAAGAAGTCAAGCGAAGCACACCTCGTGACCGTATTAAGGCAGGACAAGACAACTGTATGAAACAGTGTGTCGGCCAAATCCTCACACACATGCACCACATGACACACGATTTAAAAGATGATGTGAAGAATTATTGATTGGTTAATGCGAGACAAACCAATAAGGACGCGGCGTTATCTGAGCTAAATGCATAAGTGTCATGGATGCACGTAACGCTACCATACCTGTGCAGTATCTCACTCTGGCATTTTGCTGTGTCCAACCTTTGGTCATGCATGGACTTGTCCGAAATAGATGCTGTTACAAAACGCTTGGCGAAAGTTGGAAACGTGTTCATGTATCCGACGCATTTATTTCCTCAGAGAGGAATCTCATCTCCCCTAAAGGCCGTGTGTACAGGACTACAGTCACGATAGTCGTATTCGGGGGCAGTGAGACATTTCCCCTCCCGTCTGAACATCTGGTGCACCTCCCAATCATTGCTCGTCATTTCCTACGGAGCACTGCTTTTTTTCTATGGGCATCAGCTTATCCGTGATTATTTTGTTCATAGGCGCTTCCTCCGCAGTGAGATTTGGCTTATTTATGTGGAACATCGGGTAACACTGAGTAAGTTACATTGGCTTGGATATGCGCTACTTATGCTCGGTTACTGCCTACTGAGGAGGACTTGGTTTTTTGTACCGGATGTAGGATGGCGCAGTCGGTTGAGTAAAATTGACTTGGCAGCGGGAGATTAAAATGCTGACGATTAAACAGGGTGCTATTGGACTGTCTTGCCTTCCAGTCTAGATCCTGGATAACCCTGTGCTTGGATTAAGATATTACCAGGCGCATCTGCTGTCCTTGCTTAATCGGGTGATGGCAGATTATGAGACCGGGAACTGAAAGCCACAACGAAGCTGTGTTACCAATGTCGTTTACTCTTTGCACCACATCCAGCTGTCTGTGACCGCATGTCGTTGACAAGGTGTGGGTGCTTTGGTCCCGAATATTTGCCTCTAGTGTTTACGTTTCGCACTAGCTCCCTTCTTCCACACTTATTATTGATACCTTAAGTCATTATGATTGTACGGCAGCGAAGCAGCAGTTTAAGCTACTGATGTACAATGAGCGATGTCGTTGTTGTGTTCTTTAATTACCAGATGGCATCAGGGACTATAAAATATGTAAAATTATCAGCTATTCATAGCCCCTCTATTTGCACATTGTTTTCAAAGATGTTATCATGCTTCCTTCACTAGCTAATCGGAGTAAACAAGGCTAAGCTTGTTCAAGCTACACATCTGGTGTGATCGCGTTTCCAATAATGCACTGTCTGGTTATGCATTTCGCTACAGGCTTAACTATTTAACCCACATTTGCTCTGTTTTTAGCGATTTAATGGTTAATTTCATGTACATCATTTCAGCTTGCTCTACTGGCTTTATAGCTTCTGCTTCATGAACCAACTTACTGGACATTATCTACAGTCTGATCGAAATCTCCGTAAGAGGCACGGTGTGAGCGCCCAAAGAAAGACTATAGACCTTCCAGACGTGCAGCTGAGTCTTGTGTACACAGTTTTATCAAGTTATCCTCTTTCCCCGGCATTTGTCTATTCTACTCAATCAGAATCTCCGTTTATACGGCGCGATTATTTGCCTTTGACCGTTAGTTATTTGCGACGTCTACAAGTAACCAGATGATCAATAGTTAATGGTTCCGGAAATGTGATGTACAGAATTTGCAAAAGAATTCTTACATCCAATACCTGGGTTGTTTGACGATAGACTGATTCATGTTCGATTTCCTCCCGATGCTTTGCATGGAGAGTCGCAAGGAAGCCGTCTTCCTGATATCTACTTGTCTTCCAACGATAGTTGTCTCTCTTTGACCACACGCTGTTGGCAAATTGTGGATGCCTTGAATCTAGGCGTCTCCTTAGGGTTTTGTTATTTTAAATACGACTCTTTTCGTAATTAGTAATCATAGCCTTGTGGCATTAGATCAACAGTGTCGTTTTGACGAAGTTTTTGAATACTTTTGAATTGCACCCATTTCAATCACTTTGGAATAACCAGCGCAATCACACATGTCGAGAAGCATACATTCTTTATTTGTGGGAAAATATCATGATCATAATACATGGATATTGGACACATATAACCATGTATGCGCGCCACAACTCAGACTGAACATTCGAATCCTTTCATTTCTTTCTTATCTTGTCACTTCTGGCCTTCTTTGTTTTCCTCGACTTTTTCTTTTTCCGAGGTTGTAGATGGCGTCTCACCAGTACGCATCGCCACCAATTTTGTATCTGCATCGAAAGACGCAGTAAAGTCGGTTTAGCAGCAACTTGTGGATCATTAGAGGTGACGTGTCTATTATGTTTCGTGAGTGCCTAATACTTACCTGTCGTTTCAGGCCGGCACAACATCCTTCTATATAACGCACAAGTCATAGGAGGCTGTGAATACGCTAAGATGACTTCTAGCAAGATTAAGCACTCAGCAATCCATAACTACTTCCCGCCTTGAGGGATCGGACATGACACCTTTACAAAAACAATCCCAGAGCAGAAAATTGGACAGCATACGTAGCTCAGCGCAATTATTCGGTATAAATGGTTCGTGAAGACAACTTATCACCACAACAGCAGCTAGCGAAACGATTCTGTTCGAACCACAAGTTTGCTTACAGACATATGGGTGAACTTTGAAAGTTGCAGTACGGTATCCCACCACACACTACCATTCGTGGGTATACACACAGCAAATAAGGCGGCCAATACCTCAAGGACCCAGCACAACTTTCCCATACTCTACTTGATTCTGTCACCACACTGCCAGTGATATCCAGCTTCATATTCACGGCAAAAGCGGTGCTGAAAACACTATTATCTGTGCGTACACACAGCCCTCCTGGAGTGGATAACATTCACCCTAGAGCACTAAAGGTGGAAGCCAAGTATCACTTGCCGACTTCTCTCGGCCTTGTCTAGACGAAAACAAAGTTCTGTCAAAGTGGAAACGATGTATTATAACCCCCACTCACAATGAAAAAGGTTAGTCTGCTTCTGTCAATTACCGTCCGGTAACGCTTATCCCTGTGTTCGCCAAAGTACTGGAAGCGGTCATCACGTACGTACTGATGGACTACCTGGATAGCTCCGACATCATAGCGCCGAAGCGGCGTGGATTTCGTAAACTTCATTCATGTACCCCGAATCAGCTAAGAACACGCGACAATTGGCTCGAAACAATCAACGAGGGGACAGGAACCAATGTTATTTACATGAACTTTCGAAAGCCTTCGATCGCTTGGATCATCGAGTCTTCCTGCACAAAATGCAGCTCTACGCTGTCCGCATTCCAGTATTAAGATGAATTGCTAGCTTTAGCCGCGAACGGCAACTTGAGGTTAGAGTCCGAACTTCTCTATCCGATCCGATTCGAGTGGAGTGCTGCACACTGCAAGATTCGGTACTTGGACCTCGCTTGTTCTTAGCTTTCATGAACGATCTATCGAGAGCTATCGTCTCAAAATTTTAATTTCGCGGATTACGTTAAACATTGGCGAGCGACCAAGGGAATGGACAACCACGAAATCCTCCAGTGCGACCTCGATCTGGCCTGGCATTGGTCGGTGAGGAATGCACTGAAATGCAACGTGGACAAGTGCCAAGTTGACCACATCCGCCATGCACACGCTTGTCTCTACAAACTTAGGCTGCACGATCTGCAGACAAGCGCTCAGGAACGTGACCTCGTGTGCTGGTACAGGACGATCTCGGTTGCGCCAGTCAGAATCCGCTTTAAAAAATGGTAACTAGCATGTTGATATCTTGCGGAGGGCAGTTGGTTGTTCGGATTCATCCACCTTCTCGCTGATGCCTACCTGTATCCTCACGTCGAATACGCAATCTAGGCTTCGCATCCTTGGCTAAAGCGTGATCATGCAGCGCTCGAAACCCCCCCGCATGGAGCAACGAAGTTTTTCAAGGGATCGCGCAACCTTCCGTACCAGCAACGACTTAAAAACACTCGGAGTGTTTAGTGGACGCTACCAGCGGCTACGTGGAGACCTTATACTTGTCTGACAGATACTGAGCGACCACACTCACACATGCCGCCACCTACTGAAACTCAGCCCGAACACCAACCTCAGAGGCAACAGACTGAACCTAAGTCAACAACACAGTCGTCTAGACTGTCAAGAAAATTACTTCTCCCTCCGGGTCTGTCAAACCTGGAACGCCCTTCCAAACTCAGTTGTTTGTGCCCCCCACATTAGCTGGTTTTAAAAAATGATTGGATATGGTATTGAAGTCTCTGCACATTGCTATTGCAACGGAGGTGTACGCTATCGGGCGCGTCCCTAGGTGGCGGATCGGGGAATCCCTTCCTTGTGGAAGTACCTGCAAATAAGTATCGTTTGCCTTGCAGGCGAGATGGATAAGCAGTCGCGGACAATCAGCGGCAGCGTCTCAGGGCGTGGGGAGTTCTGGGTTGGTCACCTAGTTCTCCATTAAATACCACAAGTGCTCGTACGGTATTGTGTCAAAGCCAATGTGACCGGCTATAGAGTCACTGATCAGTCACTCCTGTAACTGGGGGTGACTATCTAACGGAGGGCGGATGAGCAACCTCGCTGGCCACTGCCTTCTCCGTGGACTGCTTCCGAAGACAAAAAAGGCGAACTAGCCGCTTGGCTGTCAACGGTCTTCGTGAATCACCCCGCTGCCTTGCGGGTCAGGTCTTTAGACTAAAGGCTAGGGGTAGGATCCCTTAAGTCAACCTTCTTCCTCGGCCTGGGCAACCGGGAAGCTCACTGCCCACACAACACATGGAACTTTGCTTCCAGTCCTCTTACTCACTCTCTTTTTTGTTATTGTTACTCATGTGTTGTGGCACTCTGCCAAATGTTTATTAGGCAAGTGTTAAATACATACATTTACATATTCTGAATTTATGCTGGCTAACTAGCCACTTGGAAATTATAACTATCAGTGACGCAGGTAGATTTGTACAGAGAGGTGAGCAATCTGGTTTACTTTCTATGAGTATTAATCATTACAACTTTTATTTGAAACAGTTAGCTCACTTTAGTAAGTTGAAAACCGCAATAAGAAGACGAAGACTGGCAAATGCACGCATTTCGTATTGCAGTGAGACAAACGTTTCTTTGCTTTTACGTGCACCATCTCATCCCAATAGCCATCCCTTCTAACACAATTACGCTGTGGCTTTGCCTATGCGTGCTTCATTTTGTCACTTATGTAATGGCGGCAGAACCTAAAGTGCGCTGAGGCCGGTGGTGGCTAGATCCTGACAGATGGTCTATTCACTGCTGCTATTGTTGTGCAATGGGCTCATGTACGCCTCCTCGTGGCGACTGCAGGGTAAGAGTTGGTTTACGCCATTCTCCCTGCCAAGATCCAAGATATCAATCCGCATGAGTCAGTGAACGGAACATTTGTTAGACCTACTATCTTTCGGGTGTGCATTTAATCGAAGGCTTTGGCTGAGGACTCGAGTCGTTCTCCTGTCTGGTGTGGGCGCCCTGCCAGTATACTAGTCCATCCTCTTCGGAGGTTAGGAATTGGTCGATGGCCCTCTTCCCGTATAACCTAGCCATGAGAGACAACTGGTCTATGGGTTACAAGCTCATCACTCGATTGACGTAGAGCATGAGCGCTACGCATTGTCTCTGACGGTGGGAGGGCACCTCCGGGTGCTCAATGGCCTGCTACTGCCCGCCTCAAGCCAGGCGGTTCCTGGTCAAATTGGTGCAAACCCGCCAAAATCTTTCTGCGTCTGGCCGTGGTCGCAGGTGAGCATCCTACTACGATCGCAAAACATATATGAATCGTTCCAGTATCTCCAAGGCTGCGTGTGGCGGCCATTAAGAAGATCCCAATCTGTCTCTGCAATCACATTCCCGAGCTGGATCTGCTCCCCACTGGCTTGTGGGTCAGGCTATTGAGCCAAAGGCTCCAGATGAAGTCCCTCAAGCAAACCTCCAAAGTACAACTGCCACCTCGTATGCGATCGCCCACCAATATAATCGTATGCCCGCATGCAAAGCACTCAATATGGGATGCTGGAATGTGCCCACACTACTAGACCGGAACTCGAGTGAGCGCCCCAAGCTACTCAATGCATTGGTCGCGATGGACCTGGCGCGCTACAAAAGCGCTATTGCGGCGCTAAGTGAGACTCGGATCGTTGAGCAAGGTAAGTTGCATGAAGCAGGTGCTGGCTACAAGTTCTACTGGGTGGGCAACGCCACCTCAGCACCATGTGAACATGGGGTCGGATTTGCAATATCCGATCGTCTAAATGGCCAGCTGGTGGGTGAACCAACAGGCATCAGTGCGCGACTGATGACTGTTCGCCTACGACTCGGAAGACGTAAGTTTGCCACTTTATAAGCACGTACGGTGCGACCATGTGTTATCATGAGGACTCGCGTGATAAATTCTACGCTCAGCTATCCTCCGTGATACGGTCTGTGCCGAGGAGTGACCGACTATTTCTGCTGAGTGATTTCAACGCGCGCGTTAGACGTGATGCATCGGTGTGGACAGATGTTATCGGTCCGCATGGCATTGCTCCAGCGAATGCGAACGGTGCGAAGCTGCTCTCACTGTGTGCCACTCACAGCCTGACGATCACGAACACTCGGTTTGCATTGAGTACGAGTGATATAACAACTTGGATACATCCACGGAGTGGTTACGCTCACCTGCTCGACTATGTCATCGTACGTCAGCGTGATATACGTGAAGTGCGCATGACACGTGTACTGCGTGGAGCTGAGTGTGGCACTGATCACAAATTGGTGCGGACCAAATTGTACATATACTTTCGTAAATCTATGTATTGCACTCCCGCCGTGAATCGGCGCAAATTTAACCCTCTCCCTCGGTACCGTGGCGAAACGTATTGAGCTGCAGAAGGCAATGACTGCACGCCTGTGTGATGTGGAATGCATAGTCACAGTGGGCGACCTGTGGCACCACATTCGCGACCAGTTGGCAGCTGCTGCCTAGGAGACCATCGGGCGCGCAAACTGTAAGCGGCCTAACTGGTTTGATGAGAACAATGGGCCAATTGATGCATTGGTGTCGGAGAAGAATGTAGCATTTGATGTACATGTGGCAGGCCCCAGTAACTTGGTGAAGAAGAGAAAGTTTAGGTTAATTCGACGACGACTGACCCGTGAGCTCCGTGGCATTAAAAATTCATGGTTGACGGAGAAGGCAAAGCAGATAGAATGCTACGCCGAACGTCGCCAACACAAGGAATTCTTTGA